CGTACTAAGTATATGTAACATAAGGTCTCCTAGTTGAGCTATTCGCTATTACCGCAACAGCACTAAATAGTTTAAATAAATGTTCCCAGTGACTCCCAGTATAAATGACTAAATCATTTCTAGCATCCCCCAGTAGTAAAAACAAAACAAAAACGGCAAACGCTCGACGCGCGTTTCGGCGTGACCACACGCCTTTATCAAGAGCTCCTGGCAAGGTGTACTGAGAGGAGGTAAATTTATATCAGGAGGGGTGCCGCCCACGGGTTACGTGTTCCAATCCGCTTCCAAGGGGGGTGTGGTTGTCTTCCAACCACATCCTCCTTCATCTACGGAAACTTGTCAATCACGGAACTCTGTATGCGCATGCGGCGTTAGCCGTTGCCATAGTAGCGCGGCCAGTCATTATGCAGTACAGGGTTGTCCGGCGTTAGCCGCTGCCATAGCAACGCGGCCAGTCATTGGGCAATACAGGAGTGTCCGTCAGCTCAGCGGCACCTCTTCGAGATCAGATTGAGCTTATATTTCTTGACCACGTATACAGGGAGTGCAGAATTATTAGGCAAGTTGTATTTTTGAGGATTAATTTTATTATTGAACAACAACCATGTTCTCAATGAACCCAAAAAACTCATTAATATCAAAGCTGAATATTTTTGGAAGTAGTTTTTAGTTTGTTTTTAGTTATAGCTATGTTAGGGGGATATCTGTGTGTGCAGGTGACTATTACTGTGCATAATTATTAGGCAACTTAACAAAAAACAAATATATACCCATTTCAATTATTTATTATTACCAGTGAAACCAATATAACATCTCAACATTCACAAATATACATTTCTGACATTCAAAAACAAAACAAAAACAAATCAGTGACCAATATAGCCACCTTTCTTTGCAAGGACACTCAAAAGCCTGCCATCCATGGATTCTGTCAGTGTTTTGATCTGTTCACCATCAACATTGCGTGCAGCAGCAACCACAGCCTCCGAGACACTGTTCAGAGAGGTGTACTGTTTTCCCTCCTTGTAAATCTCACATTTGATGATGGACCACAGGTTCTCAATGGGGTTCAGATCAGGTGAACAAGGAGGCCATGTCATTAGATTTTCTTCTTTTATACCCTTTCTTGCCAGCCACGCTGTGGAGTACTTGGACGCGTGTGATGGAGCATTGTCCTGCATGAAAATCATGTTTTTCTTGAAGGATGCAGACTTCTTCCTGTACCACTGCTTGAAGAAGGTGTCTTCCAGGAACTGGCAGTAGGACTGGGAGTTGAGCTTGACTCCATCCTCAACCCGAAAAGGCCCCACAAGCTCATCTTTGATGATACCAGCCCAAACCAGTACTCCACCTCCACCTTGCTGGCGTCTGAGTCAGACTGGAGCTCTCTGCCCTTTACCAATCCAGCCACGGGCCCATCCATCTGGCCCATCAAGACTCACTCTCATTTCATCAGTCCATAAAACCGTAGAAAAATCAGTCTTGAGATATTTCTTGGCCCAGTCTTGACGTTACAGCTTGTGTGTCTTGTTCAGTGGTGGTCGTCTTTCAGCCTTTCTTACCTTGGCCATGTCTCTGAGTATTGCACACCTTGTGCTTTTGGGCACTCCAGTGATGTTGCAGCTCTGAAATATGGCCAAACTGGTGGCAAGTGGCATCGTGGCAGCTGCACGCTTGACTTTTCTCAGTTCATGGGCAGTTATTTTGCGCTTTGGTTTTTCCACACGCTTCTTGCGACCCTGTTGACTATTTTGAATGAAACGCTTGATTGTTCGATGATCACGCTTCAGAAGCTTTGCAATTTTAAGAGTGCTGCATCCCTCTGCAAGATATCTCACTATTTTGACTTTTCTGAGCCTGTCAAGTCCTTCTTTTGACCCATTTTGCCAAAGGAAAGGAAGTTGCCTAATAATTATGCACACCTGATATAGGGTGCTGATGTCATTAGACCACACCCCTTCTCATTACAGAGATGCACATCACCTAATATGCTTAATTGGTAGTAGGCTTTCGAGCCTATACAGCTTGGAGTAAGACAACATGCATAAAGAGGATGATGTGGTCAAAATACTCATTTGCCTAATAATTCTGCACTCCCTGTAGGAAATAAACACATGTTTATTTTTACTGATACACCAAATTAGCTTATCATTTTTGGTCTGTCACTATAGTAGTGATGCTTATTAGTATGGTGTGAATTTAAAAACTTATGACCCAATTTAATAAGGATCAATTATAGATATTTAGTAGATACTATTCAACCATAGATTAAATGTATTGTTGGATCAGTTGCATATATTTATGTATTCAGAAGTATTTCACCATAGATCAGAATTAGATATATTATTGGATATTGCTCCAGTATTTGCTAAATCATGACAAATTACATCATGTATCCATAAATTAACAAAGATAGTATATATATATATCTACTGATCCAACTCCCAGTAGACTAGATAAATGCCAGGTGTAAGGTATAAATACCGAAAATTATTATCATAAAAATGAATCACACGTAAAATGTATTTACAGACTCATAGGTTTCTATTATATTTTACATATAAACAGATATTAGTAAAGAGCGTAGTTAGTGATAGTCATTCCATTCTGATTGTAATCAGTGACCAAACAGTATATATTAGTTAGATGTAGGGGGAAAATGAAAACCCTTCATTCAAACCATTTGGGTTAAGGGTTTTTAATTTGTATATCCACCTACATTCTTTTTGGCGTAGGAGTTTATCATAATCTCCCCGTCTTTGATCACGTTTAACCCATTCCAATCCACAGAACCTAATTGCACTAGAGTCACCCGCATGACAGTTTTTTAGGTGTCTAGAAATTGGAGTTTCCATACGATTTTTTGGGGATCTAACATGTTCTTTGATCCGTTCTTTAAAGGGTCTAAACGTTTTACCTACATACATCATTTTGCAGCCACAGATAAGGAGATATACCAGTCCAGCAGTATTACAGTTAAAAAAGTGGGTAATCTCAAAGGACTGTTGTCCCGCACTGTCTTGGACTCTCTTTGAGTCCCGAAGAATGTACTTACATGCAACACATCTACCACACCCATAGGAGCCACAAGGGGGATTACGGCCCAACCATGTCGCTTTCCTTTGCTTCATTGAAAAGTGACTTGGTACCAACATATCCCGAAGGTTCTTACCCCTACGTGCTGTGATGGTTGCCCTAGAGCTTAGGACGTCTTTAAGATGGACATCCTTAAGAAGAATAGGCCAAAATTTATCTATTGACCTTTTCACTGTATTCCATCCCGAAATTATCTAATTAAACCTAAAGTGGATGCTTTGAGAAGCCTACTAGAATTTATGGGATGATTTGTGGATCCACCTCCATATAGCTGGGATATTCGTTGATCCCTGCATATTTTTTCCTTTGTGGTATCTGATCGAATATACATTACACTATACTGTATCGGTGATTATAATTCTGAGTGTAGATACCACTCCATCATTATACTTAGAGGATATCCACATTGCATCTACCCAGTTTTTATTTCACGTGTTTTTTCACGAGTGTTTCACGATTATTACACTTTATTATTATTATTATTTTTTGTTCTGCCCCAAGACGGCTAAATAAAGGCTATACCTAATAATTATTTTAATTTTATTTTTATTCTATTTAGAGATATCATTTGGTGAAGTGGATGCCCATATTTTTCCATCTCTAGTGGAATAACCACTTCACTCTAGTCTTTTCTCTTTAAATTATTTTGTGGGGGTTATGCCCCTTGATATCTCTGTAACCCTCTCTGGGAACTATTGATGTGGGCCTAGTCCACCTCTAATTCCTTCCTCTCTTGTTATTTTAACATCCTATTCCAGAATGGACAGATCCAGTCATTTAGACAAGCACTAAAGGCACCCAGATCACGTCATCTCAATGAAGTGGTCTCGGTGCAGTGGCTCTTTAGTTTTTCATTGCAGGGTTAAATACACTTTGAGTGGCTGTCTTTCTGACTAAATTTGCCACCCATGCACACCAGCCTCCCAATGCTTATCTGTGTGGAAGCATTGCAATGGCTGAGATCTTCAATCTTGATGATCTCAGCCAAAGAGGTGGCGAGGGAAGAATGGTAAGTAATATTCACCTTTCAAAGCATCTCAGGCTCTCAGAATACATCATACTGACATAAGGGATCAGCTTACGCTGAGAGCAAAGTGTAACTATTGGTCTATAAGGTGTTAACCCTAAATTAGGTAGGCTTAAATGTCCTAATTTTGTTCATCAGTGGTAACACATGATGGACACATGTCTTTTTTCAGCCTGTGTAACTATGTAACACATGGTCCTCTAAGTACTTTTTACCAATGAGTTAAAAAAGTTTGGTATACAAATATTCAATTTAACAAATACACAATTTAATAAATGTGAAATGTTCATTTGGCAATTATCTATCTGTTGCTTCTCAGTTCAGTCTAGACATCTTCATTTTTTAATCAATAATTATGTATATTTACCCATTCCCTGGTAAACACTTTACTTTCTAGTGTGTGGGGAAGAAGGATATTGACAACCCTAAATTATCTGAAGAGGCACGTCAAATTGCTGATCAGTGTTAAAAGACATATTTTTGGAGATGTTTATGCGAGTGCTAAAGAGAAAAGCAGTATTCTTCATTTGAAATTTCAGAACATTCTTAATTGTTGTATTGCAAGATATAAATTGATATAAAGAGGCGGAGCGAACAGCCATACTAGCAAGACGCACATTACTGCAGCTCCGAACAAAACGGCACCAAAAAGGCAAAAACGAGCAAAAATAACGACTAACAAACAGAACCCTCCGCAGCCGGAGACTTCCCACATACCATGGGACGCAAAAATAAGAAATGCAAGCCAGAGCGACCTCCATCCACGGCCGACATCGGCGATCTGCTGTGGAGGCCGCACTCCTCACAGAGGCCTGTCATGGCGCCGCTCTCGGATGCCCCATCACGCACTACCAGCGAAGAATCCCTGTATGACGGGATGCCCTTTGAGGCCCAGCTCCCCAACAAGGTGCAGACCTCTCCGCAGACACTACCGGTCAAGCCTCCGGTTACGGAGGAGTCCCTGCGGGGCATGCTGGCCGAACTTCGCCGCAACATAGCGGCCGATATAGGACAGTTCAGGGAGGAGGTGAACGGGTTTGCGGCTCGTCTCCACAACTCAGAACGCACAACAGAAGCACACGAGACCCGCATCGCGACCCTGGAGCAGTCGTTGACCAAACTGCAACACTCCCAAACACGGTCCGAGGAACACATGGCAGCTCTCGAGGACAAGCGGAGATGGAAGAATGTCAAGGTCCGCGGCCTACCTGATACCATGGAGATGGCAGAGTTCCCACACTTCATCCGCAGGCTGCTTACAAAGCTTTTCTCCGCCAAACAAGCCAAGGCTATGACACTAGCTGGATGGCACCGTATAACGGGACCCGCTACAGGAATACAACGGCCAACTAGAGACATAATCCTCCGGTTCCAACAGGGGCAAGACCGCACAGCCTTTATGGCGGCAGTCCGCCACATAACACCGTTACGATTTGAGGATCACGATCTCACCTTCTATCCGGACTTATCTAAGGCCACCATGGAATGGCGAAGATCCCTGCGTCCACTCACTCAGGCGCTAGCGGCAAGCAAAACACCATACAAATGGAGTTCACCTCGCTGCCTACTCATTACCCGGGAAACGGGAATAGTGAAAGTCCGGGAGGCCTCTGAAATACCGAGCATCCTGCTACAAATGGGAGTGACCGCGACAGCCGCTGAGACCGCGACCCAAGCGGCACCGACACTCTGGGACCCAGAGAGGGTCACACCATTCATACCAGCGGCCCACAGAGGGAATCCTGCATCTAAGCCGGGGCGCTGAAAACCTCCCAGCGGACTACAACCCGCACAGGACTTAACAGTCCTTGCTATATGCTCTTCACAGTTTTTGCTTTATGTTTTCAACCGCACAGGACTTAACAGTTTTTGCTTTATGTTCATGGTTATTATGACCTATAGCTTCGGACGGGTAAATGGGCTTTAACTAAGCCTGACAGGCACTCTTCCCAGTTATAATGGCGAACCTCCCCAAACGCCCTTATCTCCCCCCCCCCCACTGACCCTTAACAAGTCACCACATAAAACACAACACTACCTTGTCAGTGGGATTGTTAGCCCCCTACACACACTCTCTAGACTAGAATACACCCCCCTGGGGGACAGACTACAGGCTACACCCCTTCCAGGCAACCTTCTCTGACATGCATCCTCAATTTCAAAGGGTATAAGAAGCAACACTCTACTTTTCCTACACGCATGACAGTCCTAACTACAATAATATAAAAATTTATAAAATGTGCTATCCTATAGTCGCAATGTTATCTGTTATGTGCATTAACATGTCTTTTGTCGCTGTTGTGGCGAGATCTGCTGTACTGTTATAACTGCACGAACAAAATAAAGAATTTTAAAAAAAATTAAAAATAAATTGATATAAAATGTACATATCATGGTTTATTGATTTTTCTGAGTACCACCATTATTTTAGAATCACAATAGACAATATAAGAGAGCTACAGAACCAATATTTATCCTGAAAACATTTTTGGGTTCAGTCCAGTACTCAAAAAAAGAATCAGCATGGAATCTTTACCCTGAGCAACTTCTGCAGACTTTGATTTTTATAAATTTTATTTTAAATGCTTCTTTACTAGATTGTTAGGAGGTACATTTTTTATACAGTGTAGGATTGCTATGAAACTTTTATTCAAAGTTAAGTTGGTATTAGAATAAATGAAATATATAAGTGAAAATCTAATCAATGTCAAGTACAAAAATTTGAATTCAGTATTACCATGTGGAGCTTATCTATCTACTTTATGATTCCATCAAATATGATATTCATTTTATTTACATTTTAGTAAACCTTAATCTAAATGTGGACTTTTTAGTTTCAAATGTAATTGGTTTAATGAAGAAGCATATTATACATATCATTTGGGTGTGCATCACCACAATAATTATTTATATATAAGATATGGACATGAATTTTATTCATCAAACTCAACGTTAACTGAATATATTGTTTAAATTAGCTACACTATAGTTCAGGGATAGGCAGCTTTCAGATATTGTGGACTACAGCTCCTATAATGCTCTTACAGACATAATGCTGGCAAAGCATCAGGGCAGATGTAGACCACAACATCCGAAGTGTCCAACTTAGACTGATGCAAATATTTGGGATTGATCTAAATGGAGAAAAGAGGGGGGAGCCTAGCCTTCCATTATGGTGTACAATCCAGAAATAAGGTGCGCTATACCTTTAAAACACTTTAGTATGTGTAAACCATAGAATATCATACCATATGATATATCTGTATTATAAAGTGCATGTGCAATGTGCAACACGTGAGAATTTATATAAAAAAATTCAAACTTACAAATAGTAGCTGGAAAATGCAAAAATGGCACTGGTTACCCCTCGGGGTGATATATATATAAAACAAGCACAAGAAAAAAAACATAGGGTAGTATGTAATAAAATGTATAGAATAAAATAAAGATGAATGATGAATTCATCCTTAATGTATAGAATAAAATAAGGATGAATGATGAATTCATCCTTATTTTATTCTATACATTTTATTACATACTACCCTATGTTTTTTTTTCTTGTGTCATTCATCCTTATTTTATTCTATACATTTTATTACATACTACCCTATTTTTTTTTCTTGTGTCATTCATCCTTATTTTATTCTATACATTTTATTACATAGTACCCTATGTTTTTTTTCGTGTGCTTGTTTTATATAAATCACCCCGAGGGGTAACCAGTGTCATTTTTGCATTTTCCAGCTACTACTTGTAAGTTTGATTTTTTTTTATATATATAAATTCTCACGTGTTGCACATTGCACATGCACTTTATAATACAGATATATCATATGGTATGATATTCTATGGTTTACACGTACTAAAGTGTTTTAAAGGTATAGCGCACCTTATTTCTGGATTGTATACTTAATGGTGTTTTGAGCTATTTCTCACCTTAAGGTGCAGCTTTATAATTAAGAACTTTGCCTCACTTGTTAAAGGAAATAACATTTTTGTCCACTATCCTGTAATTGCATAGTGCCTTTCTTTTGCTTGTATATAATTTTTTATACTCCATTATGGTGTGTTTAAGCACACCTAGCACACCCCTTGGGCATACTTATGTTTAGAGTACCAGGATGGTGTTTATACTCTGAAACAAGTGAGGTGCAAAATTTAGACAAAAATAAAACAGGTGGAAAATCTAAAATAGTTCACGTTTTCTTTAACACATCTATGCATGTATTTTGCAAAATTATTTGTCAACTCACAAATACTCACTGTTTAGTGAATAGAACCCCATGATGTTGCTGAACAGATTCCGTTGTGCGTCAAGTTCAGCTTCTCATACCCTTATTCAGCATCTTTTGTAACGAAAACAGCCAGTTCAGTGAAATCTTACAAGTAATGGATTAACACGGTCCCTGTGGTTTAGCAATGTGAGGTTTAATGTTGCATGATTCTAAGTATACAGTATACCGTTATTCTGCATGCTGCAGTCTGCAGTGTATTTCTTGTCATTAAATATCAGAAATTCAACATATGTACAAAGTACCAGAATAAAAGAGTACAGCATTTAAACAAAGCAAATATACAATGTAAAACATTTAAAACTACAAATAAGAAATTAGATTTTATGAATGCAGTCTGATAAAACCTATGTATGTGGCATATATTAGTTATAGTCAAAATAGTCACAAATCTGTGTGCTATGGTATGCATATGTATGTTTCTTTGTGAAAATGTGTGTGTGTGTGTGTATATATATATATATATATATATACATGTACTCTGTGTACACACACATTTATAATGAGACCATATAGTCAGGTTTATAGCTGATGCAATATAACGTACCATGATGGGATCTTTGCTTCCTGTGTTGTATGCTGGGATGCTCTTGGGGGCGAGTGTGCTTTGTCAGTATCCTGGCTAGATTTTGTTACAGGCACTGACTATATAGTGGGTGGGGTTTATACTATGCAGCTAAATGCAGCACTTGCTAGTATTTAACTTTTATCTTAAATCAAAAACAAACAAAAAAAGTTTATTTTCTGTTAGTTTTAAATTTGTTAAGCAGCAGAGATTCATATTTATTTTTCTGTTATTACTAAAATTATTTCTGTTCTGCAATCTCGTCTTTTTCAGAGGTTCTTGAAATACGGTCCAAAATCTGTTCTTGAAGGTGATGCAGTATCGGTTTTTGGAATTTCACAAATGCACAAGGGGTGTGTATTTAGATCTGTGATTTAAAGGGACACTTTGGACCCCAAAATGGCAGTCAGATGTCTTGTTGGATCAAGCAGCTATTACGCCACTAATTAGAATTATATCCCTGTATGTTATGTTTTTGCAAGTATTTATCCAATTGCAGTTTAAACATCTGTATGGACTCTGATAAAACCACCTCTTCAGGCAGAGAATTACACATCCTTATAGTTCCTACTGTAAAAAAAAAAATCTCCTTTCTTCCAGCCTAAATGTGTGACCTCGTGTCCTATGTATAGCCCTGTTTATGAATAGATTTCCAGATAATGGTTTCTACTGGCCCCGAATATATTTGCATAATGTTATCATATCCCCTCTTAGGTGCCGTTTTTCCAAACTTAAATTTAAAAAAAAAAACAAAGAAAAAGTTACCTGCGCTCTGTCCTAAATCCCTATGTATATTTAAACAAATGAAGGTCATTTAGTTACTCCAATGGCCATTGGAGGGAATGCCCGCCTGCCAACGTCAAGGCAGGCCCCCCCAGGCGGGTCCTACACTGACCTTTCACCTTGTTTCCTTGAGCTTCTGGAAAGATATTTCTAATGAGACAGAGAGGGGTATTTTTTATATACACCCTATATACTTATTAACCCTTATTAGGGAACACATGGGATGGGCGACAGCATTGTAACAAAGCTTGTGATATAAAAAGTGAATACAAATACAAAAAGATAAGTCTTGCGCTCACTCCCATCACTCCTGGGCGGTAGCAACGACCACAGTACACATCAGCCCCAATAAATGCAGTAAAAAACAAAGAAAAAGTTACCTGTGCTCTCTCCTAAATCCCTATGTGTATTTAAACAAATGGAGGTCATTTAGTTACTCCAATGGCCTTAAATTTGTTAACCTTTTTTCGTAACTAAAATGCTCCATTCCTTTTATCAATTTTTCTAGCTCGTCTTTGCACTTATTCTAGTGCCATGATATCCTTCTTTAGAACAGGTGCCCAAAATTGCACAGCATATTCAAGATGTGGTCTTACCAGCGCTTTATAAAGATGCAAAATTATATTTTCATCCTGAGAATTTATGCCCCTATATATACATGACAAAACCTTAGCAACTGCAGATTGACATTGTGTGGAACCATACCAAAGCCTTGGCAAAATCCAAGAAGATCACATCCACTGCAACACCCTGATCTATACTTCTACTTACTTCTTCGTAGAATGCAATTAGGTTAGCTTGACATGACCTATGTTTCATAAAACCATGTTGATTATTGCTAATAACAAAGTTCTTCACAATGAATCCTTGAATATTATCTCCTAATAGCCATGCAAACATTTTCCAAGTCACAGAAGCTCACAGGTCTATAATTTCCAGGGAATATATACAAACAACAGTACTGTTGGTTGTATATATTCTATGTAAAGGTTGGTTTTGAGTAACGACCTGGGGAGGCTGTTTTGCATTTTTGAAGCTAAGTATTGTTTATAATTCACTAATATTCACAGTGGTGATATTTTGGTTTTGCGCTATAATTTCCAGGCAAGGATTTTGAACCTTTTT